GCCCCCACGGCCCCTGTGCCCACGGCCCCCACGGCCCCTGTGCCCACAGCCCCTGTGCCCACAGCCCCACGGCCCCTGTGCCCACAGCCCCCACGGCCCCTGTGCCCCACAGCCCCCACGGCCCCTGTGCCCACAGCCCCCACGGCCCCTGTGCCCACAGCCCCCACGGCCCCTGTGCCCACGGCCCCTGTGCCCACAGCCCCCACGGCCCCTGTGCCCACGGCCCCCACGGCCCCTGTGCCCACAGGTGCAGAAGCAGCAGACTTGGGGCTTCTCGGCCTACGGCATGGGCGTGGGCCTGTGGCTCCTGGTCTCGTCTCTGCCTCGGCGCCGGCTGGTGTTGAACCACACCCGAGGCATGTACCACTTCTCCATCCACGGCCGCACCGTGTGTCAGGGGCCCATGCACCTGGTCTACATGCGCCTGGCGCTCAGCTCTGACGGTGAAGCCAGCGATGGGGAGAGGGCGGGTAGGCGGCGTGGGGGTGGGAGGTGATCTGGCCATCCCACTGGCCTGGGCCATGGCTCTGGCTGAGTTTCTCACCCTTGGGCAGCTTATGGAAGGTGCTTCTTCCAGCTGGTCCTGGGCGGCCACAAGCTGGAGCCCCTGGTACTGGTGCAGATGTCGGAGCGCTACGAGGTGAGTCCCACTGGATATGTTGCCGCCACTTTGAACAGAGTGCTTGCAGACTACTGCGTGGGGTCTGTGGTGGGGCATTCACACACAGAGGGCCCCTGCAGCACCGTACCCTGCTGGTAGGAAGAACCATGCAGGGTAGGAAGGGACACTAAAAGGGTGTGCTGGCTGGGGCCTCGGGAAATCTGGCTGCCACCTTCTCTCACAGCAAATGGAATACCTGGGCCGTCGCATGGCCCAGAAGCTCAACATTAACTACTTTGACTACCTGGCCACGTCATACCGGCATGTCGTCCGGCACTGGCCACTGGGGGCTAGCTTTAGCCCAGGCATCGTGCAGCGCAAGACCCGCATGTATGAAAAGCCAAGCGCCTCAGAGCTGGAGGTGTGACCCCCGAGTCTGAGCCCACCTCTCCCCCTCCCTCCACCCAGGACTTCCCCCCCCCATCATCCCGCCTATGAGCTCTTCCACCCCCAGCTGGGGGCTGCCTGCAGGCAAATCCCACTCACCAGCTCCCTTCACTAAAGTTGCTTCTGGCTTTTAGCCAAGTCTTGGTTTTTGTTTGGGAAGGGGCCTTTTCAGGCATCATCAGACCCTGAGCCATGCCCTCCAGGGCCCCCAGGGCCCCTAAACCGGAGCCTGGGTGAAGTACTTCTGGTGATGCCTCCAGGGAGTGAAGCAGGCAAAGGACAGCACTGGAGTCCAGAGACAGGAGGGCCCTTGGAGAGAGGGAGAAGGGCCTTGGCCTTGGGGAGATGCTCACTAACTGCACCCATTGGGAGAAGAGGGAGAAAAGTCTAGTGAAAATGTAGAGAAACATGTTAGGCTTTTTCACTCAAGACTTGAGCTACACCTTCATTTTAGGCTTTTGTTCGGGTTAATTGGAGATAAGTCTCGAGGACCTTTCTGCCTAGGCTGGCTTTGAACAGCAGCCCTCAGATTCCAGCCTCTTGAGTAGCTAAGATTGAAGACATGACCACCAGCACCTGACTACAACAGACATTTATTATGAGACAGGTGACAGATATTTGTAGGAACAAGACTCCTGGCTGGACAGAAAGGAGGGCTAGAGGCACAGAAGGCTGTATGGGTACTGCCTGTCTTATGTCTTCCTTAGAAAAGAATTCCCTGGCCAGGCACCAGTGGCGCATACCTGTAATTCTAGCTACTCAGGAGGCTGAGGATTGCGGTTCAAAGCCAGCCTGGGCAGGAAAGGCCGTGAGACTCTCACCTCCAATAAACCACCAGAAAACCAGAAGTGGTGCTGTGGTAGGGCACTAACCTTGAGCTGAAGAGTTGAGGGACAGCACCCAGGCCCAGAGTTCAAGCCCTATGGCCAACAAGAAGAAAAAGAAAAAATAGAATTCCCTGGGACTGTGAAGGTGGCTCAGTGGTAGAGTGCTTGCCTAGCATGCATGAAGCCCTGGGTTCCATTCCTCAGCACCACATACACAGAAAAAGCCAGAAGTGGCGCTATGGCTCAAGTGTTAGAAATGCTAGCCTTTAGCAAAAGAAGATCAGGGACAGTGGCCAGGCCCTGAGTTCAAGACTCAGGACTGACCAAAAAAAAAAAAAATTCTGTGAAGTGTGCACGGTCACATAGAATGAACTCCACAGTCAGTGCTGCAGACCCACACAGGGGCTCTCTCTGAGTGATCCTGACCAAACAATATAGTAATCTGTATCATTTCAAATAGTATCTGTAAGGGAAAAGGTTACAGTCTGCCATTGTTTTTGTTGGCTGAAAAACACCCACAATTACTGGAGCTCTAGCAGTCATTTTGAACCATGAGGTAGAATAGATACGCTGAGGATGGCGGTGTGAGCCAGGCGCCAGTGGCCAGGCCTATAATCCCTCATACTCCACAGACTTAGAGCTGAGGACCAGTGTTCAAAGCCACGCCCAGGCAGGAAAGCCTGTGAGACTCATACTCAGTTACCACAAGAAAGCCAGAGATGGAGGTATGGCTCAGATGGTAGAATGCTAATGTTAAGTGAAAAAGCTCAGGGACAGCATTCAAGCCCTGAGTGCAGACGCTACAGCACATGCACACACACACACACACACACACACACACACACAGCTCAGGGACAGCGCCCAGGCCCTGAGTGCAGACCCTACAGCACACACACACACACACACACAGCTCAGGGACAGCACCCAGGCCCTGAGTGCAGACCCTACAGCACACACACACACACACACAGCTCAGGGACAGAGCCCAGGCCCTGAGTGCAGACCCTAACAGCTCAGGGACAGAGCCCAGGCCCTGAGTGCAGACCCTATAGCACACACACACACACACAGCTCAGGGACAGCGCCCAGGCCCTGAGTGCAGACCCTATAGCACACACACACACACAGAGCTCAGGTGACAGCATTCAGGCCCTGAGTGTAGACCCTATAGCACACACACACACACACACACACAGCTCAGGGACAGCACCCAGGCCCTGAGTGCAGACCCTACAGCACACACACACACAGCTCAGGGACAGCACCCAGGCCCTGAGTGCAGACCCTACAGCACACACACACACAGCTCAGGGACAGCGCCCAGGCCCTGAGTTCAGGACCTAAGGATCCTGAGTGGCTCACAGTAATCACTCCTCTTGTAAAAGAGGAAAACTGCTGTTGTAGGAATTTCCTGACATTGGCTACTCAGCTTGATTCTGACAAGGTTATTAGGCTTCAAGGTGTAATGGAATGAGAGGGTTTGAGCTTTGCAGATTTGGGGTTTGAACTTGGGGCTCAGGAGGGCCAGGCAGGTGCTTTGCTCCTTGAGCACTTAGCTGCGCCTCATCTGTTCTACTTGGTTTCTCATGGAGTCCCAGGCTTTCCGGGGGCAGTCCTCACACCCTATAGCCTGTCTTCACAGTAGCTTGGACAGACAGATGTCACCACCTCACCCAGAATGTTGATAAAGATGGGGTCTCAGTAACTTTTGTGTTAACTCTGGGCCTGGGCGCTGTCCCTGAGCATCTTTTGCTCAAGGCTAGCACTCTACCACTTAAGCCACAGCGTCACTTCCAGCTTCTTCTGTGTATCTGGTGCTGAGGAATCGAAAGCAGGGTGTCCTGCGTGCTAGGCAAGCACTCTACCACTGAGCCACCTTCCCAACCCTTTAGTTATTTTTTAATGGTTAATTTTTTTTTAATGTAAAGAGGGGGCTGGGAAGGTGGCTCAGTGGTAGAGCGCTTGCCTTGAGTACATGTGGCCCTGGATTTGATTCCTCAGCACCACATACACAGAAAAAAGCGGGAAGTGGTACTGAGGCTCAAAGCGGTAGAGTGCTCACCTGGAGCAAGAGAGCTCAGGGGCAGTGCCAGGCCCGGAGTTCAAGCTGCATAACTGACAACAGCAGCAAAAAAGGACCGTGAAGTGTTCTTTCTACAGAGTAGGAAAGAAAGCAAGCAAGGAGCAGTAAGTCCCCGCGGAAAGAGCCGGACAGGGGATGGGCGCTGTGCCCGCCGCAGGGCTCTGCGTGGCTGCTCTGCGTGGCTGCGGTGTCCTCACAGGGCGCTGCGCCCGCCGCAGGGCTCTGTGTGGCTGCGGTGTCCAGGAGAGCCGTGCAGGGCGGCTTCTGTCCCGGCCTGTGCAGCCCCAGCTGGACACAGAGCCAGGACAATAGGCGGAGGGGCTTCTGCTTAGCATTGCTGCGTCAGCAGCTGCTCTAGATGCGGGGCGGCATGCAGCAGCGATATCCCTCATGACCTCCTGAGCCGGCCGGGCTCAGCTGGGCAGGCCCACTTCATCTGCGTAGCTGGGGTCTCTCATGTGGCTACACCAGCTGGGAACTTGGTCAGGGTTACAAAATCGCCTCCCACCCCGCAGGGCCTCTTTCAGCCCGGCCGCTGGCTGGCAGGGGCGCGGGACACGAGGACCGGGCTGCAGGAAGCCGGTCCCACCGGCCTTCCACTGTGCCGGCGCCACAGGAAAGCCAGCACGAGGGGCTGGCTGGCGCGTGGGCCCGTATGGTAGACGCTGCAGTGCAGTGCACCCTGGGCTTCACCCCCTGCGGAGCTCAGGCCCTCCTGCCCCCAACTTCTCGCCTCATGGCCGTCCTCTGCTCAGGCCAAGGCCAGGGTCGGGACCTCTGAATCGAGGGCAGGTGCACATGAGATTCCTTATGCACAGCCTTCCCATGGGGTCTTGAGGCCCAGAGTCCCGTGGGGGCCAAGCATCTTCCCTCCATGTCACACACACTCCTGGCACAGGGGGGCTGGAGTGTGGGCTGCTCACTGGGAATGGCTTTCAAAGAAGCAAAGGCTGAGTGATCGAGCGTGGGACTGCCCGGGTCAGGTGCACATCAGCAGTGGTTAGTCACAGCACTGTCCTGTGCTCCAGCATGCTGCAAGCTTAGCTGCTCTTCCCCAAGCCCACAAGAGCACAGCAGACAACCCCATCCGAAGACGATCCACAAAATTGAGCAGCATCCCTGGAAACACCACGGTAGTGAAAATCATGGGAAGACAGCAGCCGGGCACCGGTGGCTCCCACTGTCACCCTAGCTACTCAGGAGGCTGAAATCTGAGGATTGTGGTTCAAAGCCAGCCCGGGCAGTAAAGTCCATGAGACTCATCTCCAATAAACCACCAGAAAACAGAAAGTGGCGCTGTGGCTCAAGTGGTAGAGCGCTAGCCTTGAGCTGAAGAGCTGAGGGACAGCGCCCAGGCCCACAGTTCAAATCCTATATGTGTGTGTGTGTGTAAAAAATTTTTTTTGGTCAGTCATGGGGCTTGAATTTGGGGCCTGGGCACTGATCCTCAGCTTTTCTGCTCATAGCCAGCACACTACCATTTTGAACAACAGCTCCACTTCCAGTTTTGTGGTAGTTAATTGGAGACAAAAGTCCCACAGACTTCCTTGCCCAGGCAGGCTTCGAACCACACTCCTCAGATCAGCATGCTGAGTAGCTAGGATGGCAGGTGTGAGCCCCCAGCGCCTTGCCAGAGTCCCTTTTGTCTGATTGAGTAAACCCTGCCTCCCATCTGGCAGCCTTCTGAATGGGAACCTTCAATACCCATACCCTGAACTTAACCTTGACACAGTACATAAATATCTTTCTAGTGGGACTCTGGAGTTCTGTCTGTGTGTGTGTGCGCATGCACATGCACACACATATGCCCTTATTAGCACTTGAACCCAGGAACTGTGTGCTGCCTAAGCTTTTTTGCCTAAAGCTACCAGTCTACCACTTTTTGTTTTCTTTGGTCGGTCATGTATGGGGCTTGAACTCTGGGCTTGGGTGCTGTCCCTCAGCTCTTAAGCTCCAGGCGCACGCTCTACTGCTTGAGCCACAGCACCACCTCTGGTTTTCTAGTGGTTTATTGGAGTCTCACAGACTTTCCTGCCCAGGTTGGCTTTGAACCGCGATCTTCAGATCTCAGCCTCCTGAGTAACTAGGATTACAGGCGTGAGCCA